AAAAAAAAAAAAAAAAAAGAATTGTCTTGGCTATACTGGGTTTTTTCTGGTTCTAAACAAAACAAAGAATTTTTTTCCCCCAAATCTTCAAAGTATGATGATGGTATTTTAATGGGGATTGCATTGAATCTGTAGATTTCAGACATTATTTTTACAGTACTTTTCTCCACCTACATCCTTTTCTTTTCTCCTTCTGAGACTTCAGTTACACCTCTTTTCCCCTGATACCAAGAATCAGTCCAAATTAGATCTTTTGATATTTTTTCATAGGTACGTGAAGTTTTTAACTTTTATTCTTTTTACTTTTCAGATTGACCAGTTTTTATTGATCTGTTTTCAGGTTCATGTGTTATTAACTCTTCCTTCTCCATTCTAATATTGAATCCATTTACTTTTTTATTTCAGATATTGTATTTTTCAGGTCTAAAATATCCATTTGATTTTTTTTTTGTTTTTGCAGTTTTTGGCTGGGGCTGAGTTTGAACCTGCCACCTCCAGTGTGTGGGACCGGTGCCCTACTCCTTTGAGCCACAGGCGCTGTCCCATTTGATTGTTTTTTTTTATAATTTCTGTTTCTGTTAAGAATTCCTATCTTTCCATTTATTTCAAATGGTTTTATCTTTACCTTGTGGAGTATGGTTATAATAGTTGTTTCGAAATCTGTGTCTAAAAATTTTGCCATCTGGGTCATATTGATGTTGGCATTTGTTGATTATCTTTTTCTTTGAGAATTGGTGACATTTTCCTGTTTGTGTGTGTGTGTCAAGTAATTTTGGATTATATCCTGGACATTTATTTTGATACTATATTATGAGACTCTGTTGGCTGATATTCTTTTTTTTTTTTTTTTTTGCAGTTTTGGTCAGGGCCAGGCTTGAACCCACCACCCCTGGTATATGGGGCCAGCACCCTACCCCTTGAGCCACAGGTGCTAACCCTGTTGGCTGATATTCTCATGAGAATATTAATGTTTTTGTGTCAGTAGGAAACCAGACTTCAGATACAAGTTCTTCCTCACTATATAGTGTTGGTTCCACTGTCAGTTTTTTTTCTTTTTTGTTTTTTTTTGAGACAAAGTCTCATTATGTTGCCCTTGGTAGAGTGCTGTGGCATCACAGCTGACAGCAACCTCCAACTCTTGGGCTTAAGCCATTTGCCTCTGCTTCCCAAGTAACTGGGACTACAGGCGCCCACTACGACGCCCGGCTATATTTTTGTTGCCATTATTTTAGCTGGCCTGGGCTGGATTTGAACCCGCTACCTTTGGTATACCTTTGGTATATGTGGCTATAACCACTGTGCTGTATGTGCCTGTCAGTTCAGTTTTTAAGACTTTTCATGTGCTGCTTTGGATTTATCTCCTGCATGTATTGCTCAGGGATTAGTCTAGGACTTGGGGAGTGGTTGTATAATAATTTAGTTCTCAAAACCTTTTCTGTGCGGCTTGGAGTATGCATGCTCAGCTCAGGAGTGAACCTAGAATTTGTGCCAGTTCGTGCACAGAATTAGAAGGTCCTCTTCTTTAGCTCATTCCTCTTCAGTATTCCTCCCATACTCTTCACCCTTCAGAGTCCCCTTTTCCTCATCCTCTGGCCAGAAAGATAGGGTTTCTCTAATAGTTTTAGATTCCCACACCATGATTGCAACAGTTCAAAGCCACGAGAGAAAACAGAAGGGAAAAAACAGGAAACAACCCTGTGTGGGTTGTTTCTTCAAGTTTTAACTTCTCTCCACAGTCCATTTGCTTTTGTTTACTTTTCAGAGTCCTTGGTTGCTTTTTTTATGTGTTATGTAAAGTTTCAAATTCTGATCAGAGAGAGAGAAAAGTTCAGTGATCTTACTCCATTTTGGCCAGCACCTACAATTTTTTTTTAACTTTCTGATAATACCTTTTTTAAAAGACTAGTCAAATGAAACAGTGAAAGGAGAAGAGAATCCCTTTTGATAATGGTTAAAACTGGCAGCAACATAGGAAGTTTCAAACTTCTGCCAGCTTTGCTAAAAAGCAACTTTATTTCATATGAGTCAGGAGAAATTGTGTGTGTATAGAAAAAGACATGTAGCTAGTGATGAAATAGACATGGCACAATGTTAACAGTTGGCAAATTTTATAATAAAAAGGTGATGGGAAACTCTGATCTTAATAAATTCTGTGATCTTAGTCTCAGTCACCCTAATTTGATCCTCATCTCAACCAAAGGGTGATTTTTCAGAGTAATTTTAATGGTCAAACTTGGACATTTAAAGTCCAAACTTGGACATTTAAACTAAATTATTCTAGCCAATACCTTTTCTTTGTGTGTGTGTGTGAGAGAGAGAGAGAGACTCACTCTGCCACCAAGGCTAGTATACCCTGGTCAGCCTAGCTCACAACCTCAAACTCCTGGGTTCAAGCAAGCAATTTTCCTGCTTTGGCCTCCCAAGTAGCTGGGATTACAGGTACCCACCACAATGCCCAGCTAATTTTTCTATTTTTAGTAGGGATGGGGACTCAGTCTTAGTCGGGTGGGTCTCAAACTTCTGAGCTCCAGCTATCCTCCTGCCATGGCCTCCTAGAGTTCTAGATTCTGGGCATGAGCCACCACACCCAGAGCCACTAAAACCTTTTCTGACCTCAAGGTGGTTGGTTCTCTTTATTTCTGAGAAAATAAATACTTTTTTGGGGATATTTCTGTATTTCTACCTTCAAACTATTCTCCTTTGTTTACTTAAACAAATTAGAAATTTTAGATCTGGTGAGTAGCAGTCATCTCACTAAAAGTTAATTGTCCATTCTCTTTAGGCAATTCCAAGCTCGAGTGTCTCGACAAACTCTATTGGCACTTGAGAAAGAGGAAGAAGAGGAAGTTTTTGCATCTTCTGTACCACAGCGAAGCACATTAGCTGAACTTAAGAGCAAAGGAAAAAAGACAGCAAGAGCTCCAATTAGCCGTGTAGGAGGTGCTCTCAAGGGTAAGTTTGTTAAATGTTATTTTGGGACCTCCTTGGTTTCTGATGGTAGGCAAATTACATAAGAAGATAATGCATAAATATATATGTGGGGACAATATCCTTCTTTTCCTGAATACTAGTTAGCATAAGGAAGGAAATCAGGCTGGGTCCAGCCTCATACATGTAAATCATAGCACTTTGGAGCTTTAGCTCAGGAGTTCAAGACTAGCCTGAGCAAGGGCAAGACCTTATCTCTACAAACGAACAAACAGACAAACAAAAAGAAGCCAAAGGAGAGCTACTGTCACAGTGTACTATAAAACCAAAGTGTGTTAGCAATTTTGTGTCTTAAGAAAGACTTGATATTTAGGAAGTATCAACTTTTTTGAGTTGGAGTTGTTAATTGAAAGAAGATATATATCAAACACAATGTAACCTAATTATTTGTACCCTCATATTAATCTAAATAAAAATAAGTAAAAATAAAAAATATATTGTAGTCATTATCGATGCAAAGCTTACATGTACCAAAGCCTCAGAATAATATTAATATGGTTAAGAATCCTGTCTTTAGCCTTTGGGGGCCAGGAATTAGACTTTTGTTATATACCCAAAGATATTCAACAATAATTTTTTAAAGTTAATTTTATGTTCCTGGCAAATTGAGTAAAGGGTATGGACAATAATAAGATTTTATTAATGAAGTTTATAGCAGACATGTAGACCAGACTATTTTTTGGTTTGTTATCCCTTTCCTGGTATCAGTTATCAGTTAGAATGTTACTTGATCCAAGAATTAGGATATAGAGTGTACATAGTCCAAAAGGACATTTCCTCTAGATCAGGGGTCCTCAAACTTTTTAAATAGGGGGCCAGTTCACTGTCCTTCAGACCGTTGGAGGGCCAGACTGCGGACCCTGGGATGAGTTGGCTGCTAAGCAGGACAGGCAGCGGTGGCAAAAACACCCAGCAGGCCAGCTGCATGTGGCCCATGGGTTGTAGTTTGAGGACCCCTGCTCTAGATCATGATAAAGTTTGATGTAATAATCAGCCCACTAGGCTCGGCACCTATGGCTCAAGTGGCTAAGACACCAGCCACATACACCTAAGGTGGCTGGTTCGAATCCAGCCCGGGCCCACCAAACAACAATGACGGCTGCAACCAAAAAATAGCCAGGCATTGTGGTGGGAGCCTATGGTCCCAGCTACTTGGGAGGCAGAGGCAGGAGACTCTCTTGAGCCCAGGAGTTGGAGGTTGCTGTGAGCTGTGATGCTACGGCACTCTACCCAGGGGGATAGCTTGAGGCTCTGTCAAAAAAAAAAAATCAGCCCACTACAGAGAAGATCCCTAATACATGTGCTAATTTATGTTCTCTTCCAATATGCTCTGCAGATTTCCATTGAGAGAACATTTAAAACTGAAGAATGAAATTTAGGTTAATTTCTGATAAAACTAGACAATGTTGTATTGATAACTGAAGGAAGATGTAGAATGTCTTTTTTGGAAATGTACAAATGGAAGATTGTAGGTGATAAGAAGGAGGGAAAAGAAAGGCATATAAGTGACAGACAAATGGATAAAAACATTATTTTGATTGATTTTTAAAAAATATTATTTTTAAAAATTTCTTTGAGTCTGTGGTAGTCTCATTGATTTGAAGAAGAATAAGTGTACCTTAACTGCCATCTAAGTTGGCAGTTATTAATTAAATTAAATCTAATTAAAGGTTTTATGTGAAGTTTTAATATTTTTTCTTCTAGCTCCAGGCCAGAACAGAGGACTCCAAAATCAAGTTCCTCAACAGATGCAAAGTAATTGTAGAATTACTGTTTTTGATGAAAATGCTGATGAGGCTTCTAGAGCAGAGTTGTCCAAGCCTACGGTCCAACCATGGATAGCACCCCCTGTGCCCAGGGCCAAAGAGAATGAGCTGCAAGCAGGGCCTTGGAACACAGGCAGGCCCTTGGAATACAGGGTAAGAACTCTTAGATACAGTGTCTTTGCTGACATAAAAAAGACTTCAGACTTAGAGGAGCATTTTTAACATCTAATTCTTCTTGAATACTTAGGCATGGTCTATATATGTTGTTTCAGAATGTAAAACTATGGTGATTTTAGTTTTCTTTTTCATCTCCAGCCTCGTGACAATACAGCTTCCGTGACAACTGTACCCACTATGCTTCCCAGCTTTACTCCATATGTGGAAGAGACAGCACAGCAGCCAGTTATGTGAGTTAAGTGAGATTTTGGCCCGAAATTCTGTCTGATAAGTGCTCTAGACAAGAGGAAGGCTATTCTTAAGAAAATCTCTTCTTAGGCAGCACCTGTGGCTCAGTGAGTAGGGCACCAGCCCCACCTACCGAGGGTGGCGGGTTCAAACCCAGCCTCAGCCAAACTGCAAACAAAAAATAGCTGGTGGTGGGCGCCTTTAGTCCCAGCTACTCAGGAGGCTGAGGCAAGAGAATTGCCTAAGCCTAAGAGCTAGAGTTTGCTGTGAGCTATAACGCCATAGCGCTCTACTGAGGGTGACAAAGTGAGACTCTGTCTCTAAAAAAAGAAAAAAGAAAGAAAGAAAATTTCTTCTTTATAGAAATTGATAGTATACATTTATAGATATCTAACTTTTCTAATGTTTCAAGTCACTTTGTAGAAACATGAATTATGTCAAAATTATTATATAGAAAATAGAGGTTTATTTTTATTTTAAATTCTTTTTCATGGGTGTCTTATTTGACCTCTCTGTACATCTGTACATTTTTCGTTAGGTTTGTTTTTTTTTCCTAAGAGACAGAGTCTCACTTTGTTGCCCTCAGTAGAGTGCTACGGTGCCACAGCTCGCAGCAACCTCCAACTCCTTGGCTTAGGCGATTCTCCGGCCTCAACCTCCCCAGTCACTGGGACTACAGGTGCCCGCCACAATACCTAGCAAATTTTTTTTGCAGTTTGGCTGGGGCTGGGTTTAAACCCACCACCCTCTGTATATGGGGCCAGCACCCTACTCACTGAGCCACAGGCGCCACACAGGTTTGTTTTTCTTAATGATGTGAAGGAGCTTTTCATGGATTAAGAAAATCAAGTCAAAATCTATATAAGAGTTGCAAATATTTTTTTCTGTTTTCTTACTTATCTTTTGACCTCCTATAGCAATAACCATTATAAATACGTTTTTAATTCTTATACAGTCAATAGAATTCACAGTTCATACCGTGTTTCCCGGAAAATAAGACACCATCTTGTATTTATTTTTTCTCAAGAAAACACAGTAGGGCTTATTTTCTTTTTTTTTTTTTTTTTTTTTAGAGAGTCTCA